ATAAAAAATTGGTAAAATTGTTTATTAAAAAAGAAATAAAAACGATTTTAATAAATTTTTTGTATTTTTTTTTATTTTTTTTTGATTTGTAATGCATAATTTGTAACATATTACAAAAAAAAAAATTATTATTATTATTTACACATGCTTGCATATGTGCATACATGATATGCATGCACAAAGAATTGAATTTTTTTTTGTATTGTTTTATTTTTAAATTAACTAAAAAAAGAATTTTATTTTTAATTATTTTTATTTTTAATTTATTTTATTTATACTTAATTAATTAAATTTCGATTTTATTTTTATTTTCTTATTTTCTGTAAAATAGTAAAGTCTCGGAGGCCAATATCTTGAGAGCTACCGATCAGAAAATCGTGAAATCTGCACCATCATGTTCACCGAGATGCGCTCTTCAAAATGATATGTGTTGCATCTCTAGCGGATCACTGGATGCTGAGATATTTAAGTAAATGTGTTAAAAATCTTCATTTTCGGCTTTGTAGCAGCCGAAATTCCGGGATTTTATTTTGCCACCTCCGTGGGTTACACAAACGAACAAATCCGTGCTCAATATGACCAAAAAAGGAAATTTTCGGCTATCGAAAAATGGCGAAGATCAACCAAAGTGGTAACATAACCTCCCAAAAAGGAAATTTGTGTAACCAAAGTCACGTGAAACACGACACTTGATTTAAATTTAAATAAATGTTAAAAATTTTAAAATATAGTTGAATCACTTTATAACGAATTTCTATATTCCAAATTTTTTGTTATTGTGAATTATATAATAATCTCAAATAAAATAATTGAATATAACTAATTTTATAATAATATCTCTTATGTATAATAAATTATAGATCTTGTATCAATATAATAATGAGATTTTTATTAACGAAGTATTTATATAAAGAATTTTATATTATATTTAAGCGATATAGCAAATTTTTTTTTTGTTTGCTATTAATGGAAATGTTATATTATAAAATTTAAATAAAATTTTTATAGGAATTAATTAGTGTTGAACCCCAAATTAATTAGTATTAAACCTTAGATTAATTAATATTGAATCAATGATGATTAATGCATTAATTCAAATTATTTAAATTCTATAATTCAAATTTGAAATTGCTAAAAATTGTAATTGTTAATAGTGAAAACTGCTAAATTTTAAAATTGTGAAATTTCAGTTACAAAAATTTTGTAAATTTTAAAAATGTTATTTCTTTGAATTATTGAATTTAAACATAATTTCAATATTATTATATATAAATTTAGATATTACTATATAGCAAATTAATTGTTAAAATTTAGTAAGAAATTATCAATTGTTTTTATTATAGCAAATTTTAATTTCCAAAAATTATGATTCATATAAAGAAGTTTGACTATAATATCTAGATTTATGCTAAAATATAAAATAAATTACAAACAAAATATTATAGTAATATATTTAAACAAATATTTATAAAATGATAAAATTATTTATAAACATTTATAAATAAATAAAATAGTAAAATATATAATCTTTAATTTAATTATTTTTTAATTTATTCTATTTATTTAAATTGTTATCATTCAATAGCTCTAGCAGTCTTTTCTGTTAAAATTATTGTACTAGTATATCTAATTCTACTTTCACTTAAATCAAGTTTTGCTATACTATGTACAGCTTTTGTTAACTAACACCAAATAGAATTTGATGTTAGTTTAATAGCAATACCATACTCAGAATAAATAAAGTATTCTTTATTAATTATATCTATATCAAAAACATAACCTACAGCAAATTCAGATCGATCATTATCGCAATGTTCAACAGCTTCATAATTTTCCGCATAAAATATAGTATCTATAAGTTAATCATCACTTAAATTAATATTTTGCTTAAAATTATTATATGAGATCATTGCTCATGATAAATATTTTCTAGCATTATTATATAACCAATTTGCAAAACTATCTCTATCTTCATCATATATTTTTTGTGCTTAAGAATCAAGATTTTTATCTAAATATGAATATGAACTAGTGGTTGATACATTTAGGAATTTAGCATGTAAACTATGACCTACTAACTTTTCTACATCTATATGACTTTTTGGTTTACGTTTTATTTTATGATGTGCTTCTATAATAACTTTCATTTTATAACCAAAATGATTTTTAACTGATTGTTTTGCAATATCACATATAATTCTACTAATAACCATATTATTATGTATAAAAATTACTGATTCACTTATATTAATGATTTTTGAATCTTTTTTTAATTCTATTTTTGAACAAAGAGCAAATTTACCATGATATTTCTCAGCTAAATGAGTATATTTTTTAACACTCAAAATATTACATCATTTTTCTACAACCAATTTAAGATTCTTAGATAAAACAATAAAGTGATCTTGATAACTATTATACAAATCTTGATAAGTATCATCATCTTTATATGCTATTAAAAATCTTGAAAATTCAAGATGAGGATTCTTAATAAAAAATTAGTTATAAATAAAATAAAATAAATTAATATAAAAATAAAATGAAAATCAATTTTTAAAAAAAAATTTAAAATATTTTTATTTTATTTTTATTATTAATCTCTTTTTAATTAAATAAATTAGTTAAATTAAATATTAATTAAGAAAATTAAAAATTTTCTTAATCTAGAATTTAAAAGGAATCTTTTTAATAAATTATATTCATTATTTTAAAATTGATAAATAAATTATTCAATTTTTAGTTTTAAATGACATTGCAAAAAATTTAGAGAAAATTCACAAATTAATTTATTTAGAATAATAAATAAATAAAAAATACATAATTTCATCATCTAAAAGTTTCTAAATCTAAAACATTTGCTTTATAAATTTATACTTTTTTTAAAAAAAAGATTGAATTAACTTTTAATTTAATAATATAAATAAATTGTAAACATAATATTCCATCATCTAAATATCAAGAAGTTTTAAAAGTTTTTTTCAATAAAAAATCTGAAAGGAGTTTACTTAAAATTTATATTCTTTTTTTTAAAAGATTAATTAACAATTCTAATTAACAAAATATTTAACCTTAAAATTTAAAAACATATAATAAATTGAATATATGTAATATTCTATTATCTAAAAATCAAGAAATTTAAAAGTTTCTTTCAATCTAAAATCAAAAAGGAGTTTGATCAAATATTACATTCTAAAATTTGAAAAGAATTACTAAAAATTTTAATTTTTAACAAAATATTAAACCTTAAATATAAAAATATATAAGTATTTGAACACACGTAATATTCTATTATCTAAAAATCAAGAAGTTTAAAAGTTTCTATTATTCTAAAATCAAGAAGGAGCCTGCTCAAATAAATCTATATTCTATTAAAGATTTATTAAAGAATTTCTAATTTAAACAATTATTAGATAACTTACTTTATCTGAAACACCTTACTATTTTACAAATAATTCACTATATCCAAATAAAATATGATGATGATTATAGCTTAATTGTTTTAATAATTTGAATATATCAACAATTTTAACTTTTAAACTTTTAATTAATTGCATTTTAAAAAAGAAAAATATAAAAAAAAAGTAAGAAAAAATTTTTTTTAAAAAAAAGTATTTGAAATAAAATAAAAGAATTGTATTTAATAAAAGATAATGAAGAAAAAGTATTAAAATAAAAAATAATTATAATAATAAAAGAAAAAATTAAAAAAAAAAATAAATAAATAAAATAGAAAAAAAAAAATAGTATTTAATAATAAAAAAATATAAATGTAGAAAAAACTGTATTTTAAAAAGAAATAATAACAAGAAAAAAATAGTAAAGAAAAAGTTAAATTATTATAATATATATAAAATATTTGTGTAATTATTTATGTAATTAACTTAATCAACGTAATGAAAAAAAATTTTGTGTAATTATTTATGTAATTAATTTGATCAACATAATGTATTATTTTATTATGCAGTAATTTTATAAATATGCTTTTTTAAAAATTTACTTTTTTTTATTATAATTACTAGTTTTTTTAAAAAAAATAAAAAATTAAAATTATTATTTATTTAATAATTATGATTATATTTCTTGTTTTATTAATTATTTTGATTATTTTGATTATTTTGCTATTCAATTATTTATTTTATCTAAATTAATTATTATGCTATTTTAATTATAATAATTTATTTGTTTAACTATTTTATTTATTTTAATGGTTCGAATATTTTGGATATTTAGATATTTGATTATTTGGCTATTTTCATTTTATCTAAATCGAATATTTTAGATATTTAATTATCATGATTATATTTCCTATTTTAATTACTATTTTATTTATTTGACTAGATTATTTTGGCTATTTAAATAGTATGTAATATTTCCTATTTTAGCTATTTGATTATTTTAGATATTTTTAATAATTAGTTATTTTATTTATTTAATTAGTTTCTATTTTTATTTTAGTTTGATAATTTTAGTTATTTTAACAATTTTCCTATTTTAGTATTAAAATTATTTTAAATTTTAGCTATATATAAATGCAAAATTTTTTTTTTTTTCATGCTAAAAAATTTTAAATAAAAACAAATATCAAAGTCATATATTAATTAATAGTTAATCAATAATGAATAAAGAATCATTTGAATTACTTTATAAAATTTTGAAAAATATAATATGATTTATTAACTTTTTAAATTTTCGTTTAAAAAATTCTGATTTTACTAAAAATAAAGATACTGAATATTTATTATTTACTAAAATTATTGAAAAAAAATTTATAATTAATAATTTACAAATGGAAAAAAATAAATTTAATGTAAATAAAATTTTAAAAAATAATTATTTAATTAATTTTATTTATTATTATAATAAATTTATTTAATAGAAAGATAAAAATCTTTATTAATTCTTAGTTGGTTGGCTGCTTATAATAATAATGAAAATGAAATTTCTGCTGGTATTATGGCTTATCATAGTATAAATAATAATAATAATTTAAATAATATTATTATACAAAGTAAAGAAAATACAATTAAATTAGAAAATATTTTTAAAAGTCAGCAAAATTATAATCAGATAATTAATTTTATTAATTTGTCTTATAATTAAAAAGGTTTCAATTAAATTTGATACATTATAACCTTCATATATTCAATTAAATGAAAACTATTATGAAATAAATTAATTTAAAGTTCTGCAAAAAAAATGTCTGGAAAATCAAAGTATATATTATTATTTTTAATTTATAATTTATTATAAATAAATACTAATTATTTTAAATTTTAGTCCAGAATATTATTATATTTTATGTTTAGATTCAAGTATTTGTGATTTATCACAACAATTATCAAGTTATAATTTTTACAATATAAATGCAGCAATATATGAAAATTTATTTATTTTAATAAATACATTTTTAATTAATAAATTAATATAAAATATATTTACAAACAAATACAATATATTAATAATAATTCTAAAATTATTAAACCAACAAATATAAATAGTCAAGAATTATGTATTTATTATAAAATATTAAAAAATTTATAAGTATTTTAAAAAGATCTTAATGAAATAATAATTTTCAATAACTTTTTTTTTTATTTAGAAAAAAAATATATTATAAAAATACATATCGTAATGGTAAAATTTTTCATGTTTGTGAAACATATTATACAACAGAAATAGTATATAATATACTTTATATTGTATTTGAATTCTGATTATAAGTAAAGGATTTATAAATTTAAAACAGTATTTACAAAAAATACTACAAAACTATGCAGAATTATATAAATTTTTTCTTAAACCTAAAGAAGTAATGAAAATAATTCAAAATACATAAATATTTTTTTTATATATACAGTCAACTCATTCTATAGTGAATTTTGATATAACGAATTTCACGATATAACAGATCTACAGTGTAATACAGATTTTTAAATATAGAAAAAACCTTTTTTTTAACGATGTGGCATTTCCAATAACTTTATTAATTATAAAAAAATACATAAGTAAAACTAAAAATAAGAAAAAAAAAAGTACTAGCTATTCTCGTGATTATATTACAAACCCATTTGAATTGACCAATCATCATCTTTTCCTTCTAACAGACCCACTAAATATATATCTAATGACTACTGTTATCACCAAGAAAAGAAAAAGAAAGAGTCAATGCCTATCTAAAATTCCGAAAATGAGTTGCTATATTTATTTGCCATGTAAAGCCATATTTTCCAAGCACTAAATACATTATCTTCAATTGAGTGAGCAAGCATAAAGGTCGCGTCTTTTTTGAATTTAATTTTTTGAAAATACTCAAAGATTTTTCTTTGATAATCATAAGTTGGCATCAATATTTCCAAACTTTTCAAAAAGTTTTTTGAAGAAGAATGTTGTGAGTTGAGTGACAATCGAGAAGCACTTAGATTTATTGAGAGTAATGACGTATACAAAGTTCACCAGCGAAGAAGGAACTACAAGTCTAATAATTTTAATGTATCCATTATTACTTGAAGAAGGTAAGGCAAAGATGTTATCAAAGAGATTTAGGAGTTCAGGAAGGAGAGGAGAGTCACTGAACCTAGGGTAGTGTAAGAGTAAAAAGACAAGATGTGATTTGATGAGTGAAATGATATTGGAAATTATTGAAGAATAAGCAGGATATGACCAAAGATGCGTGATAGTTTCAGACACCAGGTTGCAGCCAATACAGTTTCAATTTTTATAAAGATCAGGGTGAAGCCTTTCTATTTTATCGAGTAAAGGGAGTTCATCAATAAGATTTTTAATCATGAAAGTCTTGAGGTGAGCGTCAGTGAAAAATGTGACTATTGATGATGAATCCAATGAAAGAATGTTTCAAATGGAGAACCAGTTGATATCATTCGAGCGGGTAAAGAATCTAAGATCTCTATTTCTTTGAAGATAGAGAAAATTTCCAAAATGCTGAGCATTGAAAAACTGCTTGAAGAATTTTCGAATTGAGGATTTGATAGTAATATTATGGAATTGCATAGCGAGATTGTGAGATTTAATACCAGTTAAAACAGGTGTTATTGCAGGAAGAGAGCGACCATTTTTTGCAAGAAAATCTGCAATATCGTTAAAAGTGTTACTATTGTGAGCTTTTACTTTGTGTAATATAATCACAAGAGCCAGATAATCAATGATGTGCTGAACAAGATTTCAGATAGTATAATTAGAGATCTTTTCAAGAGAGCAGTTAGAGAGGTGATAGTTGGTGATGACGAAGTTAAAGCCATGAATTAATGTTTGGCTATCTGTATGAATGTGGATTTATAATGATTTAGGAGAAATAAGGAGAGCTGTTATAAAAGTAAACAACTCAGTACGGGTAGAAGAGGGCCAATTTTTAATTGAGGCTTCAAATTGATGATGTTTAGAGTCAGAGTTAACACAGATCCAGCTAATGCCCATTTTGCATAAGAA